AAAGGTAAAGAATAGGAGTGATGAATGTGGTGGAAGGGTTCAGTAAAGGCCTTGAATCCAATCAAAACACTGTTTTTGATTCTGTTTTTCATTTCAGCTAAAATAATGTTTCAATAGTCACTTGCTGAAGTTGCTAAGAACCAACCCTGGTCTTTGAATGGGTACTTGTTTTGAGCAAAACACTTCTCTGTGGCCTCAGCTGAACTGTGCAAGCTCACTGCAGCTGGAGCTTGGGGAACAAGGCATTGTGGAGATTAGCTAATGGTTTTTCACACTGGCAACCCAAGAAGAATGGTTCCTGCTTGTGGCGATGTAGTTGTGTTGCTAGACACCTGATTGTCCAACACTGCAAGAGATAAGTAACCCCAAAGGTGTCTGAATAGTATATATGACCGAATGCATCAATGTTATTTTTAAATCAGGAGTTCACTAATATATATTGGTCAGTGAAATGAGACTGTCAGTCCCTCCGCTCCTTCTCTCTCTTGGCATATGTCTGTTTCCCTGTGTGTTTGTATGTGGGAATAGAGAAATCTATGCTCGAGGTCAGAGCTAAGGATCATACCTTACATTACAACCTCCGACATGTCTACCACCTAGTAGATACTCTGCTTATATAATCAGTCACACGTTCAGTAACTTGTATATGATGTGCTATTCTAAACGTATTCTTTCTCTAGTTAACTTCTATCCATGTGTCTGCAGTTTCAAAGTAAACTCAGTCAGGTTTCTGGCACCCTGCTTTAGCTCCAGCGCTTCCTACTACTAACTGAGCTTCTCCACTTTTCTTTGCTCAGTTCATTTAGTCATTTAGTCACCTTTTTGTGCAACGGCATCTTAACCAGTTCCTCTGATTCTTGTTGCCTGCATTTACAGCTAACTTAGCTGTAACATATGTTGCAGTCCAGATACCTGGGGACACAAATGTAAGATTTGTTTGGTTCTTAGCAAAGTAGAGCCATTCAGGGATCACAATCATTATGCTTTTTGTTGTTGCGGTACATTCATGGATAGAGATTGGACTTTCTGAGTAGGAAATCGAGGTTGAGAGGGCATCCCATAAAAACTTCGGACTAATTCAAGAATGCACCAATGGAACAAAACTAAAAAGTGCCAATACCAATGGACACATGAAATCTGCAGCCATTGTAACGGTTTGTCTTTGCTTCAACTGTTTCCTTAAAAAGACTCCAATTATTTAAAAACTGTTACATTTCATGGTGAAAAGCCTGACTTTCACCAGTTGTTGGTGATTTATGAGTGGAACCCTCCAGAGCCCCACAATGATGCAGTGGGACACTGAAAATGAGGAGAAATATTGGCAGCAACCATCATAAATACATTATACATTAACAGAAAATATTATTACTGAAAGTTCAGCTTGCTACACATTCTCCCATAAAATAAAATATTGATTAAGATTGATATGTAGAGTATGAGTAGTGCAGACAGACTAGGTTTTACAGTTGTGTATGTTCTCAGTGGTAGCTCTGTTTACGAGAAACAAGATGCACTTTCAAAAACAAACTGTGTACACATGCAGTATTCAGTGGTGCACATGGCCACATCGATGCAAGGAGTGAATCAGAATCCCTATGAGATGCTTATTTTTCAGAGGCTGACCAAAAATACTCAGTTAGGTGTGCACACTTCCTGTGAACACAAGCACATGAATAACTTTATTTCAAAAGCACCCACAAACTTTTTGTGAAGTTTCTCTGAAACAGACAGGTGAAATACACATAAAGCCTTTAACAAATGAATAACAAATCTCGCATGTGTCAAGCCCTTCACAGACTCATACATATATGCATAAAGGTTCTCACATGCACACACGTGCAGTGCGGCTGCTTGCCTCCCACATGCACTGCTTGTGACGCATTGGAAAAGTCATTAGACCTGCACTTCCTCTCCAAACAGAAGAGAAGGAAGAAAAAGACTGTCTTACATGAAACACACAGGAAATGTGTGGGTGAATGCTTGTATGTGTATGTGTCTGTTTCTGTGTGCGTGCGTGCATGGATGCGTGCATGTAGACGCAATTGTATATTTCTATGTGCATGCACGTATCTGGAGATCTAAGGTCCCACCCTAAGGGCTGGTGACCGAGGTCTTGTAATAGCTTGCTTTGATTGTTTCACTGACTAGACTACAGCTACAATTACAGACAATTAAGACACTCAGCCAGTGATTGGCTTGCTCAGCAGGCTAAGCTGCACACCGTAATCTTGTGGATTCAGCATTTGTCCAAAGCTTATCCCCCTATTTTCAGATTTGGACTTGAATAAAACCAAGTACCCACTTAAGTTAGGATTACTCGCTCAGAGCATTATTTAGCACATCAAAAAGCCGTCTGCAAAGGCATCTCTGATTAAATACACAATAATGGCAGATATTTCTACGTTTTTTCATCATACTTAATGTGTAAGTCAATATAATCTCTCAACTGTGGATACTGTAGTTACACAAGTTTCATTTCTCTCTACAAAAAAGGTAAAAACAGTCAGAGCTTCTGCTTTTCAATGGAATTTTTGGCACTAATGTTGTAACTTATCACTTGACATATGGGGTGTGTGTGTTTCTCGTTTTGTCTTCCTATGTAGGAGCTGTGACTTTGCATAACGTCAAAACCAGCACTTCCATGCGGGGAGGGGGCATATTCATATTCACCGCAGTAAATACGAATGTGCATGTGTATGTTGAGTACGTGTTTAATGCTATATGTGCTAGCAAGGGCAACTGAAGCGAGTGATCTACAGAAGCATTGTGATAAAATAAATTGTACAACAGGGATGCTGTGTTGGTACTCAAAGAAATCCAAAACAACCAGGACAGGAAGAAAGACAAAAAATGAAGGAGGCAGACGGTGAATCCTGGGGTTTGGACATCTGGAGAAGTGTCAGGAAGCTCAGTCACTTCATCGCTGAGGGTGTAATATTTATCTATGTGCACTAGAGCATGTCAGCCTACACACACACATGCATACAGTGTACCAAAAACAGCACAGACAGGTGAAGGACAGCTTTTCTGACTTACACAGGGACACATATTCCCCTTCACACAGACACACACACACACACACACACACACACACAAACCAGTGATTAGTTTGGACACTCGCTGCTTATTGCTACAGTGAACATCTGTTACCTCAGCAGGATTTTAAAAAATGCCTTTTTGTGTGCGTACACATACAGACATTAACTTTTCCCACAATATTTAATTTTCTACCACTCTCTTTCTCTATCCCCACAAAAATACACACACGTCTACATTAGATGTACTGCTTCCATGCCCTACTTGTTTGGTACTTACTGTTAGAGTTACTAATTTCTGACACTGACTAAAGGTATCCGTTCAAGGACCAAAAAGCTGTTTCCAAACAGTAAACATGTAGTTGCATAATTCTGGGGCGTTTTGGGGGTTTTTTTTCTTTTCTGCAAGTGAGCTCTGGGTGTCAGCCTTCTTGGGGCCTTTGTTCTTCCCGTGCCTGGTGCTTTTCTAACTGGGTGCTCTCCTTTCCTCTCACCGTCTGGAGGCATGCATGTTACCTGAGCATAGGTGCAGATGTGAGATAAGCTTTGACAAGTCGGTCAGTATAAGTAGAAAAATGCTATGCTATGTACTAATATGCAAAGGTACAACGTTAGCACTCAAACGTCCTAGCTGGCTGGAGAAAATCACAGTCTTATGCAATCATAAACATTTTAACATAACATAGTTTTGTTTTGTTTGTTTTAATGGGAACCAGGCTGAATGTCAGTTAAATCTGGATCAGAAGTCTTAGTCATTCAACGTCAAGCCTCACCTGGAGAGACCGCAGGAAAAACATTGCCCTGCAAGTACAATAGGTCCATTTATTTTTCTGAGTGTACTGATCCTTAATGCAATTATAAACAGCGTTATGGTGGATGAACTGAGGAACACCTGTTCTTTAAGATTCCCAGGGGTATAAATTTCTTTACTGCTAAAGGCAAACACACTGTCAGGTGCTGTTTGTTATCATGTGAAATAGAAGCTCTGTGTGTGGGAGATTCACTATTCCACACAGAGAGGGGAATCCCCCAACACAGCAGACATTAAAAACAGGTGCTATTAACCCTTATCTGCAACTTTTGAGCTTCAGGGTGAATATTTAGTATTTCACTTTTCAAAAGGGACTCTTTTTAGTTCCAAAACTGTAATGCCGAAAACTCGTTTTGAGCATAATGTTTGGGTGTCCAGCTGGTATCAGTTTATTACCTTTAGTCAGTACAAAAAACAACTATCACAAGCATCACTGTGAGCATCACATCCTTGTAAAAAGATATTTTTAACTAGATGCCATCCTGAAACTGATACACTGTTCAAACAGGATACTGTTAACTCAGTATTGGTGCATAATGTCAAAGTGCAAACCAATGTGAGAAAATTTAAAAAGGTGATCAACATTTAGGAAGTTTTGATGGTTAGCCACTTCAGACTTCTCTCTATCTGTGGCAAATGTTCCGTTCTAGTTGCTTTCGCAGTCGAACTTGTCTTGATAACACGAATAGATTTCCTGCTTCTAACTGTAAACAACCCACACACAAGTGGTGGGATCTTAACATTTTGCACTTTGCGACAGCTGTTGCAACCAAAATGTCAGTGTTGACTGCACATAACGTGCTACCCGGTGAAGGGGAACCAAAAAAATTATCCACTTTTAGCATGCTGTCAGTTGGTTGAATATTTACATCTTGCTGTTCTGTAGCTTGCACCACTTTAAAAATTGCTTACCCCTCCATTTCTAAGATTGAGGTTTCAAAAAAAATGTATTTCATATTTAATTCACTCATGCTCATGATAATCATCTCTCCAAAACACTGCCAAATTAGATGTGAATTGATATTTTTTGCATGTTTTAATGCACACAATATTATCATCTAATTACATCACAAATACAGGAGACAGAGTTGTTCTAACCTAAGAGGTTATTAGTGTATATTGCCAGTAAAAAGCACATTAGCATAGTGACTTACCTTGGCAAGCCAATTCCCCTGTACATTCTCACTGTAGAGGTCTGGAGTCAGTGAGGATTCTTCCAGTGTTAATTAAACCGTCTGTCTTGGAGAGAATTAAGGTCGTGATCTCCCAGACCTCACCACTCCCACACTCCCTGAGAAGAAAAGAAAGAAGAAAAAGGGACTTAATGAAGGAATAAAAGGATGAAATGGCTTAATGAACCGCCTAACGAGGCCTGTGGCCGTTTAATAAGGGCTTATTAAAGCTTAATTAGAGAAATAATCAAGCTTGTTTGGAGTATTTCAGTGTTGACTTGTGGCTGATTGTGTTTTCATAGCAACTGGATAAACAAGGAAGAGTTAATACTCCATAGGAAAGAAGACATGTCTAACTGTGTGTCTGTCTGCGTACATGTGTTGTAGGGGATTTCAACAATAATTAGGTGACGACTTGAAGATCCTTCCAGTCACACGGAGGACTCACGCTCATCATTCGGTCACATGCTGAAATCGTACTGACATCCAATTCAAACACTGTGGTATCCTGAACATGGGCATAAGCAGCCAGCGTGTTTACTCCATGCCTGTTAAAAGTAGCACTATCAGCAGCTTAGTCATGTGTACTTTGATATCCTGGTGTAAAAGCCTGAGCTTTTGCATGCAACCTGAATTCCTGTACTTTTTTCCTTATTATATAGCAACTCACTGACTAATTACAGAGTTGTTCCTATTGTAAAATGATGCTACGGATTCTGATTAAATATTTGCAAATGAGCCACTGAGTTTGTCCAGTATAAACCCAATGACTCATCAGGCAGAGTCACTCACTTACTGACTTAAAAACAACACACCATATTTTCTCTACAGATGTTAGCGTGACTCACTTGAGTCAGACACTAAGTTACATTGTGCCTGAGGAAAGATCTGAAGAGAATGCAAAGTATACAGGACACTTGAGACGTCAGCTTTTCATTATTCATTCAGTGATGCCATCACTTCTTTGAGGAGTTAGAAAGGCTCAGCATGTGATGTATCCTTCTTGTATGTGCCCGCGAAACTCTAACGGCACTGGTTCTCCACTCTGGTTCTCCAGTTACTGATTCATTAAGTGATTCAGCTTTGTTAGACCCTTTTATGGATTTTGCAATATTCAGTGACCTCAACAATTAAAGGTGTTACTCATCCTTCTTCCTGAGCAGGTGAGAACCCCAGACAAGCCAGCTAAACAACACTGCATCATGAGCAACACAGCTTGTTTGTTCATGCAAATGAATTCAAATATTCATGTAGAACCCCATGAATCCCTAAATAGGACAGAGGGATGTACTATAGCAAGTCAGAGGATGTAAATGCCACATTTTGTCTTGATTTGATTTTGTATGCTATGGGGTGCTAACCTTTAACATCATAACTGCTCATATACAGAATAAAGACCAAATAAATGAACTTGGACTTCATCAGCAGTTCCTTGTAATTACTATTGTTGCTTTTAAATTATTCCAAACACTAACAGTAAAGGTACCAGGTTAGACCGCCATTATATAAATATATATAAAATCTTGGTGTAGAGTGGGCATGCTTTCTCAGCCAGTGTAGTAAACTGAGTGCTTTTTCCCAAAGGCAGCATCCAGTGGACCCCCCACCCCCATGAAGAAAAGGGTAGAAAAGAGCAAATTAGATTAATTAGCTATTAGATTACAGTGTAAAAAAATGGTTCTTTACTTTGTATTTATGCATTTTAACAGCTTTCTATTAAAACTTTTTATCTAAAACACATTTTATCTACATTTCTATGTCATATTTGATCAGTAAACATAAACAAGATAAACAGTATTCACTTTGGCAGTTGTTGTGATTTGGCATTATATAAATGAAATTGAATTTTACTGAATTTTACTCAACTGAATTGAAATGTTGCATATAACTATACCTTTCAGCAAGATTACTACATTGCCTTTCTGTCAGTTTTCTGTGAAAACACAAAACTTTGCAATAGAGAGCTTGTATGTCCCTCAAGCCCTTACTGCATCTTTGATGAACGCCTGCTGACAAGTTTTCAAGTTTCTAACCTTGGGCTGGCCACTATGGTTGTAAATTTTCAGATCCTTTTGACCTCATATTTATTTCCTTTCATACCAGTTTGAAGTTTACAGCTGAGCTTTCACTGTCTAGGAATTATGTCATTTAGCCTGGGGTTAGACTGAAGACATATTCTTGAGGGTTATTAAGCGATCTTGGACATTACAGAGTAGATACCCTTGGAACACTGCACAGAGATGTGTGACAGCATTTCACGAAGAACCGCTGAACCCTCGCAGTTGCAGTTCACGGGCTGTGTCTCTGACAAGTCTGCTAAAATAAAAACCCCCGCGCTCATTTCCAGAACGCCAAACAGCTGATGATTCCGGCAGAAGGGCCAACGATTTCCACTGCTCACATATTTTTTTCCCCCTCCAATTCTAGACATATGTCAATTTTATGTCAGAGGATTAGAGATGCCAGTTATTGTTCTGCAGCATGTGAATGATGTCAACTTTCCCACAGGGCCTTTTCTTTGAGATGTAGACAGCAAAGCAGCTGACAATTCCTGCAAAGATGCCAACACACCACATCATTTACACAGCTAGCTCTTCAGTTCTGTCAGTTCTTCACTGAAGAATGATTGGGAGGTTAAAGATGATGTCATCTTTCCAGCAGGGCTTTAAATCTCAGAGTTTATTATGCTACTGCACTGAGCTTTGGGAGCTGATAATGATGACAGCGGTGAGGCAGATGATATTGCTGGTCAGTGCAGTGGTCATGGTGGTAATGACAATGGTGATGTAAGCTTCCCCAAAGCCCCCCCCCCCCTTTTAGTTTAATAGCATGAGCAGCTCACCACTTTTCTTTAAAGAAGCAGTGGCCAGATGACTTTAGCTGACTTCACCCCTTAATCAGTCGACTACGCCAGATAGTATCAGTATCAGTAAATCAGAAGAAAAAAAAACACTTACAATGTTACATCATCATGTGGTGTCTAATCTAAAGAATGTTTAACAGAATTTTAGAACGTTAATGCAAGATTTTACACAATAAGCCAAAACATGCCTGTTAAAGTAAGAGAAGTATCAGATTTAAGTGTCTATGCTTTTAATGCTGCAAGAACACTTTCAGCTGACAGTTAATATGTTGGAAGAAACCTTCACAATTATTAGGCTGAGTTTGTGTCTTTGCCAAAGTTCTGCTAAAGAGAGCCCACAACCTTTGGAGAAGTCTGAAATGCAGGCTCAACTGCTGAGAAGGCAGTTCAGCGTCTTTTGCCCTATTCAGAATTGATGAGACACTGTGTGCTCACACTTTGTATTTATTGTCGAAACCAATTAATTAACATGCTCATGTTTCTATGGTAATGCCAGTGAATTATAGCATATCACGACCCTGTTCCCAGAAAAAAAAAACTGCAGGCATCATCATTGTTTCCATTGTTTTCAGTCTTTCTTAGCATTCACTCATTTCCAAAGATTCCCTGCGATTTTCCAGTTCCACCCTTCTCTGTTACTGCAAAACTATAAATTATGTCACTGGGTTTCATGCTAATTATGGCTAAACTGACAGCACATGCAGAGTTAAAACATTTTAAGACCAAACTCCCGACTATGTTGGAGCTTTAAAAGGTGAAAAAAATATTGCAAATGCTTCATTTTATAGCCCACATTGTGTTTTACTTATCATAAAGGATGCTTTGATAACCTTTTAAAGTTTTGAGATTCAAAGTTCTTTCTGGAAGTTCCATAAACTGTACGCTGTGCACTTTTGCACCTTTTCCAAATTGTGCAAAATCTAAAGATCTCCTCCGACCCTTATTTGGCATCTGCCTCTTTATCTGTTTATATTAGTTTCAGTTGTTTTCAGCAGTCTCTGCCATGGCCTTCTTTCCTCCCAGTTACACCCTTGTGTGTTAAAAATATCATTAGTTTTAGGGGATGATGTCATTCTCTCAGCGGGGCTTTCCCACATTCAGCTGATAACACATGTGGTGGAGAACTGTTAAAACACATGGGTGTGTTACAGTTCTAAACTCCTAACCCATATCACTCTTCCATGAGAAACAGACCAAGGAGGGTATTTGGCAAGGAAAATGGTGCTCTTTTTCCCCTGACAGCAACGAGCAGCTTTAAAGCTCATCTAGATTGTGATTACGTTTGCTGAATACAATAACCAAGGCCATGTTGTTGCAGGCAGGCCACAGCTGTGATGTACTCCATAAAAAAAATCCCAAAAACACTTCATGCTGTGGTCGTTCGTTTCACCTTGCTGATTTAAAGAAACTACAACTTCTGCTTGAACAGCGGAGCGTTTCCACATATTGTGATGCCTGAGCATTGACATCAGTCCAGGTTGTGACTGGATCGTTAATCTGCATTGCTGTAAAAAGAAAAAAAGAACCACTGCTCCACCAAAAACCTATCAAAAGATTATATGCTTTCACTCAGATAATCTACACTTTAAGCCAGGGTACTTATAGAAAACTATATTACTTAAGTTTTGATGCATCCTCAATCATCCAGGTAAGGAAATTCCACAAAGTTGATTCTGTTCATCTGGATGCAGTGTTTTTAGAGGAAGTCACTTGATGAATGGAAAACACTGCATCCAGATGAAAAGAATCAACTGTTTGGTATATTACTTATGGACTAGTTATTGAAGCCCTTTGGTGGCTGGGATGGCTCCAGTCCACCCGTGACCCTAAACTGGAGGAGCAAAAAAAATGGACGGATGGATGGATACTTATAGAAGAGTATAGAACATCTTAATATATGAATGATTTTATGACAGGGTCTGTCTCATCAAACACGTCTTATGTGGTTTTGGTGCACACAAGGCTCATCCACCTATAGAAATAAGCAAGCTGTAATGGAAAGTCCTGCAGTATACTGGGTGAAGTAGAAAGACTGAAGCAAACTGAAGTCCCTTTGGGGCACTCTGGATAAACTCAGCTCACATGGAACCTCAAGAGGAAATTGGACTTGTTTATGAAGGAAATTACATCATTGGGCTTGGTTCAGACAATGACTTCATGCTGACAAGATAATGGCCAAGAGAGAGAGAGAGAGAAAGAGAGAGAACAGGGTTGGTTGCAGAAGTAATGTGTACATGTGAAAGGTTAATGAGTTCG